CCCACAGCAACGTCGACACCTTCACCATGGCCGTGAGGCAGCGTAGAGCCCATAACAGACCGTTCATAAGTGGTCGATGGATGTACGAAGACGCTGTCCTCACCATAAACCTCCACAAGACGATCGTCATGCAAATGGACAGGTAGCCCATTGTGCACGTGCAAATGTCCACCAGTTGCAAGCAGTCGCCGTTTTCCTTGGCTGCTTCAATAGATTGCAGCAACGTCGTGACGAAAAAGCTCCCAATGGACAATTCTTCGTCCGTAGCAGACTCAATTGGGACCAGTGACGAGGCAATTGGCAACGAGGCAGCAATCCTGGCTCCAGCAGACAGTAAAGTGCTACCGAGAGTGTACGGGATGAATGCGAACAGACCGAGATACGCTCCGTTAAATGCCAGCAGCCACGACACATTACGGAACAAAACCACAAAGTCTCCACGTAGTCCAAGCAGCTCATCCATCGCGATGTTGATCTCCATATGCTCAAAGTCGTCTTCCCACTCGCGTTGGTTCATGTTCGGCGGATCTACGCGGTTGCGAGCACCTCTGGGCGGTGCATTAGCAACATTCCGACGCTCTTCTTCCATCTCCGGTGCGTCACGTAGCGGTCGTCGCTGGCGGAGTTCATCTTGTGGTTGTGGGACGGGATCTGCGTCTTCTACAAGCCCAAACTCGCGGTGTTGGATAAAGGCGTCGGCGAATGGCTCGTCGCGGTTCCGATCGGCCCATTCTTCTTCATCTGACGAGTCCGAGTCAGCGTTGTCGTCCAGGTTCCCTAATCTCCGGGGTCCTTCGAGTATTCTAGGCTCGGCACCTTGCTCGTTCTCTTCAATGTGGTTACCTTCTCCAAACTGTGCGCGTCGCATGTGTTGCCCTACATCATGACGGTGATGATGGTGGTGCGGCACTTCTTCGGCCGCTATCTCTTCCTCGATATGGTCCAAGTGGAATCTCAGAAAGTCTGCAAAGGACATTAACGCTAAGAAGGAGAAGACGATGCACACGATGAGGATCACGCCGGAGAAGATGTCGGTCACGATGTGTGGCGCGTCGAAGCGCTCCGAGAAGTTGACGTTCACCATGGCCGACGCGCGTAGCAGCCACATGCGGTAGAGCCAGCTAGTGCACCATGGCGCCACCGCAAGCCACAGTACCAGCACGAGCACGGCGCGGAGAGCGAAGGGAAACCACTTAAGCAACACGACGCGTAGTCCTGTGCCCAGCAGTTCCGTCCAGGGCAGAACATCCGGCGCGTTGGCGTCGTATAGCGGCGTGAAGGTGAATTGATGGCCGCATAGCTCGCAGAAGCTCTTGCCCGAGTGCTCCAGCCACTGCTCCAGACAGTCCGAGTGTGTGAAGCGGATGCTGCCGCTGCACTTGCACGGCGCGAATAGACGACGGTCAGGTTCAGCCTCGCCGCGACACACGCGACACTCGGCTTCGTCCTCGTCTTCGTCGATGATTTCGCTAGCAGGCGGAGACGGCGGCATGGCCTCTGCATCAGGATTGGGGCGCAGATCCACCATAGCTGTATTGTGTATGTGGA